ATATATATATTTACAAAGCTTCAAGGCAGATAATTTGCCTCAAGGATTTTTTGTAATCAAATTACTCGAATTATTCGAGGAATCGTTTCAGCCCTAGTAAAGACAGATCGTTCTGCAGCTGGCTGTTTGTGTTGGAAAGATATTTTGCTAACAGACAGACACAGGTGAGTGGTTAGAACCAAACCTGAGGACGTTGGTTCTGAGGACGGTTCTGCTCCTTCTGTTGGAGTGCCGTTGCTCCCGGCCACCGCCTTGTCACCTTTCCCCTCTGCAACTTCAGAGGAGCTGTGCTCAGCTTCAGGGACAGCAGGAGCAGGAGCAGGAGCAGGAGCAGGTTTGTCTCCTGACGGGAAAAAATAAATAATTTTTAGAAGAGTCACATAAAGAATGTGGATTTTAGATGTTGTCTATTTTAGGGTCTTTACCTTGTGGTAGAGCAACATCTGTACCTGGGTCAGTGGTCTCATCTGCCTCGGTGACCTTTGAGGGGGCGGGACCAGAAACCTCTGAGGGGGCGGGGTCTGAAACCTCCGAGGGGGCGGGGTCTGAAACCTCTGAGGGGGCGGGGTCTGAAACCTCTGAGGGGGCGGGGTCTGACCAGACCACATCAGGTGAGTCTGCAGCGATAACGTCTGCCTCTGAGACTGTGACGGTCTGCTGGGTGTTTCCTGAGGCAGAAGAAACATCTGAACCAATCAGACGGAAAGAAGAAGAATAAATATAAAAGGAAGGAGGATATGAGGTATTAGGGAATAATGGATGTGAGGAAGCAGGATATAGGATGTAAGGAAGAAGGATAAAGGACACAAGGAAGCAGGATAAAGGACACAAAGAAGCAGAATAAAGGACATGAGGAAGCAGGATATAGGACATGAGGAAGCAGGATATAGGACATGAGGAAGCAGGATATAGGACATGAGGAAGCAGGACATGAGGAAGCAGGAACAGTAAATTTAGATTTTGACAGCTGGTAATTTATAAAAAACCAACCTGTTTGTTCTTTTTGTAACTCGGTGGGTTCACTGGAGCGACCATCTTGTTTCTCTTCTTCTTCCTTCTGCTCCCCCTCTTCCTCCTCCTTGTCCTCCTCCTCCTCTTTCTTCTGAGGAGGACTGGACTCGGTGCTCGATGGCTTCGGCGGGCTCTCTCCCACGCTGCTTCGAGGCGACAACATCTCCATCTCCTCGCCCCAGTCGGACACGGGGTGGTGCCCCTCCAGCGGGTAAAAGGGGCTGAGGGGTTTGCCACCTTCTGACGCCTCCTGAGCCGACGGGGGCGGGGGGATGTGGACCTTTGGCCTGGGTGTCCTCTGCTCCTTGGGGCTTCCTGCCGAGGTGGTCCGAAGGCGATGTTTGGGCGACGCGACCGAGCTGGGTTTCTCTTTCCTGGTGTCCTTCTTCTCGCTGTCCCTCGAGTCCTGTTCCGGGTCGAGCCCCTCCTCCTCCACCTCCCCGTCGTCGCTCGCATCCTCCCACTCATCATCATCTTCTTCCTTTTCGTCTTCATTCTTCTCCTGCACCTGAGAAAAGACACGCGGTGAGGTTAATAAAAAGAACCAGTGATTACCTGCAGTTTGTTTATCAGGATATTTTAATCTTCAGTTTCTAAAATAACCTTCTCTGGTGAGCGAAGTTTTGGGTTTTCCTCTGTCTTCTTCTTCTTCGTCTTCACCTCCGTCTTTGATTTGTCCTCCTTCTCCTTCTCCTCGTCCTCTTTTTCTCCCTCCCAGCGATTGTCGTGCATACTGTCAACATTTCAGTTCATTAAAAAGGCGTTTGAGGACAAAAGCAGGATTGAAAAGACAAACGTGTGGCAGCTGTTCAGCTCCAGCTCACCTGTAGTTCTGTTTCTGGCCTTGGCCCCTCCCTCGGCTCCGGTCCCCTAGTGGACCCTGCGTCCTGCCCTGGGACAGGAAGTCTCCAAACGTTGGTGCTTTGGGAGGCCGTTTGTTGTCATCTGTTGGGAAATATGGATTTTAAATGTTGTTTAAACCAAATAAAGCTTTAATAATAAAAAAAAAGATACTGACGCAGCATAAACAGATCAAAGCTTTCACTCATTTATTATAAATAACTTTGGACTGTACTCGTCTTTTATTAAGGTTCTGGTCCAAACTGAGACCTCATGGGTCGTGTTGGAATGGCCTATTTTTATTAGACTGAGTGATAAAACAAAAATATAAACCCAGAATAAAAACATTGCTTGTGAATGATTTTAACTGAGGGAGGGGTAAAACTCACAGAATCGGGG